TAAGGAACAATGCAGCGGCAGCACGGCGCAGACAGACAGCAGAGAGCACGGACATGTCTCCCGGGGCAGAGCGGGAGGGGACGCTCTATTTCACTCTCGCCAGGCAAATGCCACAGCAGTGCTATGGTGTGACGATGTGACGCAGCAGGGAGGGGGGAGTGTTGACCTGGGAATGTGCCCTGGGGATGGGAGACCTGAGAGCCTGTCACCTGAGCCAGGAGGGGGAGGGGGAAGTGATGCCTCTGCCCAGGATGAAGTGAGCTGTAGCTCACGAAAGCTTATGCTCAAATAAATTGGTTAGTCTCTAAGGTGCCACAAGTACTCCTTTTCTTTTTGCGAATACAGACTAACACGGCTGCTACTCTGAAACCTGCCCAGGAATGTGAACAGAGGCTGCAGAAGGGAGCCTGCTGGTGGGGTTTAGTTTTTTGTCCACCAACCACAGCCTCAGGTCGGAAGGGCACTGTTCATACAAAAAGAAAAGGAGTACTTGTGGCACCTTAGAGACTAACCAACTCATTTGAGCATAAGCTTTCGTGAGCTACAGCTCACTTCATTGGATGCATACTTTGGAAAGTGTAGAAGATCTCTGAAAACTGTTCATACAGTTGCTCCAGTACGATTAGGTCAAGCAGGTCCTCTTTAGCTTGGGCCTCAGCTGTCCACTTGCGGGCATACCCCTGCATTCGGTTGACCAGTTGTAGGTATGTGACCTCAGGCGTTTTACACTGACTCCAGAACCTTCTCCGGTACATCTCGGGGGTCAGCCCAAACTCACGGAGCAGGGCCTGTTTGAACAGTTCTTAGTCCCCTGCCTCCACCCCTGTCATTCGGCTGTACACCTCCACGGCTTTGGGGTCCAGTAAGGGGGTGAGAAACTGGAGCCTGTCTGCAGGGTCAACCCTGTGCATCTCACAGGCATTCTCAAAGGCCATCAGGAAGCTATCTATGTCCTCCCCCTCCTTCCACTGGGCCAGGAAGCACTTATCAAAGCTCCTTGCAGTCTTGGGTCCCCCCTCACTCACCGCAGCCGGGGCCCCACTGCTCCTCATCCTGGCCAGCTCCAGTTCATGCTGTCTTTGTTTCTTCTTCTCCTGACGTTCCCTCTCCTTCTCCTCCTGCTCATGCTTACGTTGCCTCTCCTCCTGACGTTCCCGCTCCTTCTCTTATTTTTCACGATCCTCCAGCTCCCTCATTTTCATCTCCCTCTCCCATTCCAGCCGCATCTGCTCCAAGGATGGGGAGCTCCGCTGGGAGGATCCCCTGCTGGCTGCCGGGGTCAGGGTGCCCTCGGTATTCGCTGGGCTTCCCCCAACCCCTCCCCTAGGCATAGGTAGGAAGGGTCTTGGGATGTCCTTGGCAGCAGTCTGACCCCTCCCAGCCGGGTCAGGCCCCAGGCCCACGCTGCATCCACTGGGCGGCTTTTCTCAGGGACAGGGATCGGGTCATCCAAGCGATCCCTCTCCTCCAACTGGGCAATCAACTGTTCCTTGGTGGACCTCCCAATGCGCAGCCCCCTCTGCCTGCACAGCTCCACCAGGTCGCTCTTAAGGCATTTAGCGTACATCTCCCTGCTGGCCACTCGGTTTTCTACGGTTTCCAGGAAAAACCCCTAGTGTGCCAGTCCTTCTTGAGGTCACCACCTCTTTGCCAGGGTCGAGCTGCAGACTCCTACGCCCCTGGGACCGCTCGCTGCAATCACCCCGGGGACCCTGTTACTGCAAAAGTCCTTCTCTCTGGTCACACACTCCCAGGGGTTAACCGCCCCCTGAAACTGTCTCTCTCTGAATCTTCAGCATGCCTGGTCCCTGTCAATCCCCCTTCGTTTTATTGTTCCCCAGCCACTTACTGCAGGAAGCGCCGTTCACGGGGTGCAGCACATCCCACCGCTACCACCAGTTGTCACGGAGTGTGGGAGAGTCCAGGCCCTGCACCCCTCTTCCTGGGATTCACTGAGACTCTCAGTCAGCCAGAAGGTTTATTGGACAACAGGAACACAGTCCAAAACAGAGGTTGTGGATACAACCAGGACCCCTCAGTCAAGTCCTTCTGGGGGAGCAGGGAGCTTAGACCCCAGCCCTGGGGTTCCCTGCGTTCCTCCACCCAGCCCCAAACTGAAAACTAAACCCCCCCAGCAGGCTCCCTTCTGCAGCCTCTGTTCACATTCCTGGGCAGAGGCGTTACCTCCCCCTCCCACTCCTGGCTCAGGTGACAGGCTCTCAGGTCTCCCATCCCCAGGGCACATTCCCAGGTCAACACTCCCCCTCCCTGCTGCGTCACATCCTTATGGTCAGCCTGCCTCAGCTAAATGAAATGTCAGTGCTGCACTTAGGGGATGTGCTGGAGAGAAGCAGCTCACCTGCCTGCGAGGCAGGGCTGCGCCCGGGACTGGGAGAGCTGGGAAATGCATGAAAGGCAGGCTGGGAGAAGGTGTGTGGTAAGAGCCGGCGAGGGCTCCGAGTGTGACCTCCTCCTGGGCACTGAACCCGCTCTGTGCCTGGCACCAGTCTGCGGTTGTCACGGAGTCCCTGGGCGATGCTCTGGAACTGCTCCCCATGAAGTCAGTCAGGATTCTGGGGTAGTCGCCTTTCTGTGAGCAGACTGTCTTCAGGACACACAGCTCACACAGCTTCCACCTTCCTGGGTCTGACCTCGGAGCATTCAGCATCCTCTGCCTCTCCGTGTGCTTCCCCCAGCGAGTCCACCCAGGCGGGGCTCCTGGGGAAGCCAGAGGGTCCTGCACCCCAACTTCGCAGTCAGACGTGACTCTCAGCCAGCCAGTAAAACAGAAGGTTTATTAGACGACAGGAACATGGTCTAAAACAGAGCTTGCAGGTGCAGAGAACGGGACCCCTCAGCTGGGTCCATTTTGGGGGGCAGTGAGCCAGACAACCACGTCTGCACTTCACTCCATGTCCCAGCCAGCCCCAAACTGAAACTCCCCTCCAGCCCCTCCTCCTCTGGGCTTTGTTCCTTTCCTGGGCCAGGTGGTCACCTGATTCCTTTGTTCTCCAACCCTTTAGCTCTCACCTTGCAGGGGGAAGGGCCCAGGCCATCAGTTGCCAGGAAACAGGGTGTCGGCCATTCTCTGTGTCCAGACCCCTGCACACACCTGCCCTCTAGGGCTCTGCAATGATCATACATGCTTACCCCACCCCCTAGATACTTAAGAACTGCCTAGGGAAACTGAGGCACCCCCACACTATTCAGAGGAAACATTAAGAACAGTCCCACTTCGTCACATCTCTCCCCCCTTCGAGATCGAACTGAGCGGGGTCACTTTAGCCGGTGACCTGGGGAAGTTCGAAGCCACCAGCGTTCCCATGGATGCCCCAGCATCTCTCCCATTCCTTGGTAGGAGTTACACCAGGCCCTTCCATTTTCACACCCTCCCTTAGGTCAGGGGTGGTCGATAGCACTCGCAGGCCGCATGTGGGAAGGTTTATGCAGCCCATGCCCTTTGGCCACCCCAAGAATGTCTCCCCATTGACCATCACCTTCTGCTCCCACTGGAGGTCCGAGGGGCCTGGCCCCAGGAAACTCCACACAGACATATAGGTTGGGGTCAGGAGTGGGAGCCTGTCCACATCCCCAACCATCTGGCTGACGGAGTCTGTGGCCTTGGGACCCAGCAAGGGAGCTAGACACCGGGGCTTTTCCGCAGGGTCCCCCTGGTTCAAATCGTCAGCCTGCTCAAAGGCAGTGAGGTGGGCATCCACACCCCCCCCCTCCTTAACCAGGGGCAGCAATTTAGTCTCGAGGTTCCCTGCGGAACTGGCCCCCCGGGATCTATCCCCACTCACCCCGGGGAGGTCCCCTAGGCCTCTCCGCCCCACCACCGCCAGTTCATGCTGCTGCTGCTTCTGCAGCTCTTTCTCGGGCTCTCGCTGTCTCCCAGGGTCCTCTTGCTCTCTCAGACTCAGCTCCAATCCTGTCCCTCTCCAATCCCCCGATGGGGAACCCGATCGTGAAGACCCTCGTCTGGTCGGGGACAGGAGTCTTGGGGATGCCTGGCTACTACTCCAGCTGCTCCCAGATCCTGCTATAGCCCCAGTTGGGGTCAGGAATCTGTTCCTTAGAGCGGTCATCCTCCTCCAGCTGCACGATTAACTCTGCTTTGGTGAACTTTCCAACGCTCAACCCTCTCTTTTTGCACAGGGTTACAATGTCCTTCTTAAGGAGAAGGTGACAGGCCATCACTCCGCTCCTCCCAAGTTGTTGTGGACTCACAGGCCCGTGTGTTCTCAGCTCCCCACGGTTTCCAGGGAGAACCCCTAGTGTGCCAGCCCTTCTCGAGGTCACCACCTCTTTGCCAGGGTCGAGCTGCAGACTCCTCCGCCCCTAAGACTGCTCACTGCAGTCCCCAGGAGGATCCCATTACTGCACAGTCCTTCTCGCTGGTCACACACTCCCAGGGGTTAACCGCCCCCCGAAACCGCTCCTTTCTGAGCCTTCAGCAGGCCTGGTCCTCGGCAATCCCCCTTCGTGTTACTGCTCCCCAGTCACTTACTGCAGGAAGCGCCATCCACGGGGTGCAGTACATCCCACCACTGCCACCAGTTGTCACGGAGTCCCTGGGCGATGCTCTGGAACTGCTCCCCATGAAGTCAGTCAGGATTCTGGGGTAGTCGCCTTTCTGTGAGCAGCCTGTCTTCAGGACACACAGCTCACACAGCTTCCACCTTCCTGGGTCTGACCTCGGAGCATTCAGCATCCTCTGCCTCTCCGTGTGCTTCCCCCAGCGAGTCCACCCAGGCGGGGCTCCTGGGGAAGCCAGAGGGTCCTGCACCCCAACTTCGCAGTCAGACGTGACTCTCAGCCAGCCAGTAAAACAGAAGGTTTATTAGACGACAGGAACATGGTCTAAAACAGAGCTTGCAGGTGCAGAGAACGGGACCCCTCAGCTGGGTCCATTTTGGGGGGCAGTGAGCCAGACAACCACGTCTGCACTTCACTCCATGTCCCAGCCAGCCCCAAACTGAAACTCCCCTCCAGCCCCTCCTCCTCTGGGCTTTGTTCCTTTCCCGGGCCAGGTGGTCACCTGATTCCTTTGTTCTCCAACCCTTTAGCTCTCACCTTGCAGGGGGGAAGGGCCCAGGCCATCAGTTGCCAGGAAACAGGGTGTCGGCCATTCTCTGTGTCCAGACCCCTGCACACACCTGCCCTCTAGGGCTCTGCAATGATCATACATGCTTACCCCACCCCCTAGATACTTAAGAACTGCCTAGGGGAAACGGAGGCACCCCCACACTATTCAGAGGAAACATTAAGAACAGTCCCACTTCGTCACAGCGGTGAAGAGCTGATCTGGCTTCTTCATTCCCTCGGGAGCGGGCCAAGCTGGGGGAGACATGGGGGTGCTTTGGCTGGCCGTCCCCGGGGTGGAGCTTGGCAGCTGAGGGCTCCTACCTAGGGCTTCTGGGCGAGTCCTGGTCTGGCTGGCTTTGGCCTCAGGCAGGGCCCACATGTTGGTGCATGTGTTGTGAAGCATCCAGGCTGGTGCTGTCCTGGCTCAGCCGCCAGAAGCTCGTGAGGTGTTAACAGAGCAGCTGCCACGAAAGGTCTGTCTTCACTATGGAGTTAGCCTGGGTGTTGCCCCTAAGCCCTCTCTGCCCACACACCACCGCCTCTCACTCCAGTGTAGAAATGCTTCCAACCAGGGCTAGCTGTCCCGGCTGGGGGTGGGTGGGATCCCACATGCTGCTTTCACTGGAGCTGGGAATCCTCTCTCCACTTTGCAGTGAGGACCCAGGGTAAATCCCTCAAATGCAGTTGCTGCCATTCCCCAGGGGGGCCACGACAGGCAGGTTCTCCCACAGTCCCCTGGGAAAGACGCAGAGAGCAGCTCCACTCGCTGCAGCCCAGCGGACCAAGGCGCGTGCCCCCAGAAGTCCTAGCGGCACACACGGGTGAGCGCGGTGCGGTCAGGGCACAGTAACTGGGGCAGGGCGTTGCAGTGGGGCTGCTCCTCACCTCCGGGCTGGGCCAACGCAGGGGCTCCCACCCGGTGCAGTGCAGACATCCCCTGGGGGAGCAGAGGAGGTGGGGCTGCCTGCATGGACTCCGAGGGCATTTCTCTCTTACTGACAGGCACTGCACCGAGTGCCTTGCAGAGCAGATCTAAGGTCGCGTTGTCTCACTCCTGAGGCTGCAGTGCAGCACGGCTGTGTGGGGAGGCACCGCGGAGAGCCGGGAAACGACACCAAGAGGTTCGGGGGCTGGGATTCTCCCGATGAGGGATGGCTGCCCCGGCCCGCAGCTCTTGCTGCGCTGAAGATCAGAGCCTGCTGGGAGCAGGTCGAGGGCAGACACTGACCCGGGGCGAGCAGTGCGTGCTGGGAAAGTGCCCGGCTCAGCCCTCGGCTGGCCTCTGTAGTTCACACGTCTCTCTCTGCTGGGCGGCAGAGCAAAGGGAACAGCACCAAGAGCCATGTGGTAGGACTCCTACCCGTGTCAGCTCCTGGAGCGCTGAGGGGGCGTCCGGGCACCCACCTCCACATCTCCCTTAGCAAAGGACAGGGCCTGGGGCTTGGGCGGGGGAGGCAGAGGGTGAGGAGCTTGCCCGGGACAAGGGGCAGAAGGATCAGGTGACCTTTGGGGTTGGAGGTGACCCTGGGGCTGGGTAGCTGAGGGGTGAGCTTGGCGGGAGGGAGAGGTGAAGTTGGGTGTTGCAATGGGGCGCTCAGGAAGTGCAGGGTGTGGGGAAATTGGGGCTGGACAGTCTGGGGGTGCTGACTAGGGGGAGGGGTAGGAGCGCAGGAGAGACAGTGTGAGTGCACTGGCATTTCCCCTTTGAAGATCTGGGTTCAAACCCAGCTCAGCATCCCAGTGAAATGCATCTGGCTGTCTCAGCCCAGCTCCAGGAGCCATTTGCCAGCCTCCCTAGGCCACGGGTGTCACGGAGTCCCTGGGCGATGCTCTGGAACTGCTCCCCATGAAGTCAGTCAGGACTCTGGGGTAGTCGCCTTTCTGTGAGCAGCCTGTCTTCAGGACACACAGCTCACACAGCTTCCACCTTCCTGGGTCTGACCTCAGAGCATTCAGCATCCTCTGCGTCTCCGTGCGCTTTCCCCCAGCGAGTCCGCTCAGGCGGGGCTCCTGGGGAAGCCAGAGGGTCCTGCACCCCAACTTTGCAGTCAGACGTGACTCTCAGCCAGCCAGTAAAACAGAAGGTTTATTAGACGACAGGAACATGGTCTAAAACAGAGCTTGCAGGTGCAGAGAACGGGACCCCTCTGCTGGGTCCATTCTGGGGGGCAGTGAGCCAGACAACCACGTCTGCACTTCACTCCATGTCCCAGCCAGCCCCAAACTGAAAACCCCTCCAGCCCCTCCTCCTCTGGGCTTTGTTCCTTTCCCGGGCCAGGTGGTCACCTGATTCCTTTGTTCTCCAACCCTTCAGCTCTCACCTTGCAGGGGGGGAAGGGCCCAGGCCATCAGTTGCCAGGAAACAGGGTGTCGGCCATTCTCTGTGTCCAGATCCCTGCACACACCTGCCCTCTAGGGCTCTGCAATGATCATACACCCTTACCCCACCACCTAGATACTTAAGAACTGCATAGGGGAAACTGAGGCACCCCCACACTATTCAGAGGAAACATTAAGAACAGGCCCACTTCGTCACATCTCTCCCCCCTTCGAGATCGAACTGAGCGGGGTCACTTTACCCGGTGACCTGGGGAAGTTTGAAGCCACCAATGTTCCCATGGATGCCCCAGCATCTCTCCCGTTCCTTGGTAGGAGTTACACCAGGCCCTTCCAGTTTCACGCCCTCCCTTAGGTCGGGGGTGGTCGATAGCACTAGCAGGCTGCATGTGGGAAGGTTTCTGCAGCCCATGCCCTTTGGCCACCCCAAAACCCCAGGGGGTCAAACTGGGATTGGGTTTTCTCCCAGAGCTCCAGTCTGGAGGGCTGCAATTCGGGCTCTCTTGGTTAAGGGCCCCCATCTTGACCTGGGCCACATACTGTTCACTTACAGAACTAGCATGGAGACATCCCTTTCCCAACAACCTTGTCTCCCCAACAAGCTGGCCAAACACAGCCACTTGGTTATAGGACGGTATACCTTTCTTAATAGCTTTCACTCCATCTGAGACCTTCTCAAAGCTCTCCACACTGGATCTTTCAACAGGAAAGTCAGTGGATCCATTCACAACAGAAAATTTCTGGCTGTTAGGAACTGAAACTTTCTTGATTAAATCACTTTCACACCCTTCAGTGGCAGTAAACTGCTTGCAAAGACTCCATGAGGATTCCTTTCCCGAGGGCTTTTCTATGCAACAATTCACCCCCTCCCAGAAATTCTGCTCTTACCCTCTTTACCTAGGGCTTGCTCTAGGGGAACACTTTCCTGAGCAACTACAGACTCTTTCTGGGTCTCCCTTACATCCAGAATCACCTCTGGCCCATCAGGCGGATTCCTACACAATCCCCTTTCATGCAAACTTACAGACTTCCTAGATAAAAGGTTAGAAGCATTCTCCTTCCCTTTGCCACACACAAGTTCAGGAATCTTTTCCTTCTTGCTACAGGTTTCCACACCCTCAGTAGGTTCCACAATCACATCACCTTCCTGCTCTCCTTGTGCCCTGGCTAGGATCTCACCCTGATTAGACAGAGTTGCTACACCCTTTCCAACAACACACTAGCAACAGGCAAAATACAAGCACCAGAATTGTCTGGTCTCGGGGGATTTTACATAGACCCTAACTGGATGCGACCTAGTTACAGGGCCATTCTCCCGAGCAGACAGAAACTTAGGACCCTTCCCTTCCTGGGCTTTAGCTGAATCCAGAACCAGCTCTGAGACAACTGCATGACCCTCAACCATCACAGGCTGAAAGGCCCCTTCTGTCTGCTCCACAGACCAAGAAGAGCCGGACACACTTTCTCCTTTACCAGACACACAGGTTGGGATCTCATTCCCTTTGTCCCAGCACACAAGGCTGGTCACAGACAACTGCTTGGAGATCAGGGTAGCTCCCTCCATAGGCAAGTCAATACCCCTGACAGACAGAGACCCATTTCCTTCACTGTCCCAATTCTCCACCCAGCTAACAGGTAAGGTCCAGGGACTCTCATCTTCCACTCTCCTCGCCTTCCCACCCTGCTGACTGGACACAGCCATCAGCTCACAAGGCTGCCTAGGCTCATCCAAACTTCCCTTACCAAGCACCTTGCCACTCCCCACAGATCCCCTGCCCTGCCTGTGTCTCCCCCCACTCAGCTGGGGTCTCAGCTCCCACTGTGCTCAGCACTGCCCTTGCTGTCCCAGTGGGGGCAGGCCACTGCTTTCCTCACTGCATCAGAGCCAGCGAGAGTCCCCAGTCTGGTGTGCAAGGGGGCAGGGAGCATCTCTCTGTCCCACCGAGTCCCAGGGGTCTGGTTACAGGCAGGCAGGTAGCCTGAGCCTAGCGGCTCCTCCCTGCTGCCAGCCAGGTCATCTGCATTTTCACTGACCATTTCCCTCTCCACCGATTGGTTCCCTGGATTCAAATTCAAACCCTCGGCAGTTACAGGAGCAGGGCCTGGATCCTGTCCCAAAGAGACACAGTCACCCCACAACAGGGTCTCGCAGCTGGTGTCCTGGGGCACCCCAACGGCCAGCCAGCCCCACCCCTCCTGGGTCTGCACAGGGATCTGGGCCATAGGCAGGGCGAGGGGCTTCGTCCCTGGGACCCTCACCCAGCTCACACAGGCCCTCAGCCTCTGAGGCTGCACCACCCAGGGTCTGACACCAGTTCTCTCTGTCCCAGGATCTCGCCACCCCAGGAATGTCTCCCCATTGACCATCCCCTTCCGCTCCCACTGGGGGTCCGAGGGGCCTGACCCCAGGGAACTCCACACAGACATATAGGTTGGGGTCAGGAGTGGGAGCGTGTCCACCTCCCCACCCATCTGGCTGATGGAGTCTGTGGCCTTGGGACCCAGCAAGGGAGCTAGACACCGGGGTTTTCCGCAGGGTCCCCCTGGTTCAGATCTCCAGCCTGCTCAAAGGCAGTGAGGTGGGCATCCACACCCCCCCCCCCTTAACTAGGGGCAGCAATTTAGTCTCGAGGTTCCCTGCGGAACTGGCCCCCCGGGATCTATCCCCACTCACCCCGGGGAGGTCCCCTCGGCCTCTCCGCCCCACCACCTCCAGTTCATCCTGCTGCTGCTTCTGCAGCTCTTTCTCGGGCTCTCGCTGTCTCCCACGGTCCTCTTGCTCTCTCAGACTCCGCTCCAATCCCGTCCGTCTCGATCCCCCGATGGGGAACCCGATCGTGAAGACCCCCGTCTGGTCGGGGACAGGAGTCTTGGCAATGCCTGGCTCCCGCTCCAGCTGCTCCCAGATCCTGCTATAGCCCCAGTTGGGGTCAGGAATCTGTTCCTTAGAGCGATCATCCTCCTCCAGCTGCACGATTAACTCTGCTTTGGTGAACTTTCCAACGCTCAACCCTCTCTTTCTGCACAGGGTTACAATGTCCTTCTTAAGGAGACGGTGACAGGCCATCACTCCGCTCCTCCCAAGTTGTTGTGGACTCACAGGCCCGTGTGCTCTCAGCTCCCCACGGTTTCCAGGGAGAACCCCTAGTGTGCCAGCCCTTCTCGAGGTCACCACCTCTTTGCCAGGGTCGAGCTGCAGACTCCTCCGCCCCTTGGACTGCTCGCTGCAGTCCCCAGGGGAACCCTGTTACTGCACAATCCTTCTCGCTGGTCACACACTCCCAGGGGTTAACCGCCCCCCGAAACCGCTCCTCTCTGAGCCTTCAGCAGGCCTGGTCCTCGGCAATCCCCCTTCGTGTTACTGCTCCCCAGTCACTTACTGCAGGAAGCACCATCCACGGGGTGCAGTACATCCCACCGCTGCCACCAGTTGTCACGGAGTCCCTGGGCGATGCTCTGGAACTGCTCCCCATGAAGTCAGTCAGGACTCTGGGGTAGTCGCCTTTCTGTGAGCAGCCTGTCTTCAGGACACACAGCTCACACAGCTTCCACCTTCCTGGGTCTGACCTCAGAGCATTCAGCATCCTCTGCCTCTCCGTGCGCTTTCCCCCAGCGAGTCCGCTCAGGCGGGGCTCCTGGGGAAGCCAGAGGGTCCTGCACCCCAACTTTGCAGTCAGACGTGACTCTCAGCCAGCCAGTAAAACAGAAGGTTTATTAGACGACAGGAACATGGTCTAAAACAGAGCTTGCAGGTGCAGAGAACGGGACCCCTCTGCTGGGTCCATTCTGGGGGGCAGTGAGCCAGACAACCACGTCTGCACTTCACTCCATGTCCCAGCCAGCCCCAAACTGAAAACCCCTCCAGCCCCTCCTCCTCTGGGCTTTGTTCCTTTCCCGGGCCAGGTGGTCACCTGATTCCTTTGTTCTCCAACCCTTCAGCTCTCACCTTGCAGGGGGGGAAGGGCCCAGGCCATCAGTTGCCAGGAAACAGGGTGTCGGCCATTCTCTGTGTCCAGATCCCTGCACACACCTGCCCTCTAGGGCTCTGCAATGATCATACACCCTTACCCCACCACCTAGATACTTAAGAACTGCATAGGGGAAACTGAGGCACCCCCACACTATTCAGAGGAAACATTAAGAACAGGCCCACTTCGTCACAACGGGTCTCCCACCTAAGGACAGAGCCCTCGCCCAGTGACAAGGCTTTTTCTAGCCACACGCAAAGGGAAATGCCCCACAGGCCAACGTCTCCTCCCAAGCTTCCTTCTCTGGAGCACCCACTGCCCCGTGAATGCCCTGCACAGACCCCCACCAGGACCCGGCCCCTCACTCGGGGCAACAGTCACCCCCATGCACAGGGGCCTCCGCAGCATGTCCACCCTGGCCTGAGGGGCCGTGGTGCAACACAACGTTTTGAAAACCTGACCTGTGAGAAAGGTTAAAACAACGGGGCATGTTTGGTCTGAAGAAAAGGAGACTGAGGGGGGACCTCAGACGAGTCTTCAAATATGCCAAGGGGGCTGTTCTGAAAAGAGCAGGGCCCCATTGTTCTCCATGCCTGCTGACGGGAGGACAAGCAGTAATGGGCTTAATCTGCAGCAAGGGAGAATTAGGTTACATATTAGGGAAAACTTTCTAATTCTAAGGGCAGTTAAGCTCTGGAACAGGCGCCCAAGGGAGGTTGTGGAATCCCACTCATTGGAGCTTTTCAAGAGCAGGTCGGACAAACCCCTGTCAGGGATGGCCTGGGGTTATTTGGCCCCGCCTCAGCACAGGGAGATGTGCGAGGTGACCTCCCAAAGTCCCTGCCAGCCCCACATTTCTGTGTTTTACCTTTGTTCTGGCTTTACCATGAAAGGGCCGGCGCTATCCCATGATGCTCTGTAGCTGTGGATGCAGCAGGGCTATCGAGCGCTGGCTGCCCTGATGGGAGGCCTTTGCCATCCACAGCCAGAGCATGAGCAAGGCCCAGGCTTTGGGAGCTACCGCTGGGTTGTAATAAACCACACCCTAAACAGACCTACATGATAGGGTGCCTCCCATAGCCCTTCGCTTGCCAGAATTCCTAGTCAGATGCTCCCCTGTGTGCAGCCCCGACGCAGTGGTAGAGCAATGGGAAATGCTTGTGATGTGGGAAAAGTGTATTGGATGCTGTCCTGGAGCAGTCCCCTCATGACACAGCGTGCCCGCAGGGCCATACCACCCTCGCCTTCCTTTGGCTGCTCCCAAGTCCCGTGTCCACAGCAGTGCAGCGCTCCTACCGCAGTATCCCCCTACCTGGGCCCAAGTTATTTAGCCTTAATAAAGCCCACAGGTCCAAACCCTGCCCCTGGGTTAAGGGATTCCTCAACCCTCATGCCTGGGGCTGTGCAATGGGTCAAGCCTGCTTTGCCAGCCCACCAGCTCTGGGTTCCGGTTCTGCTTCGCAGCACCTCTTCTCCAAAGCGGGGTGTATCCCATCCCCAGCGTGTCTGCTGCACCCTTAAACTCCTGTTTCCTTAAAGGGGCTGTTTCATAGACAAGCCCCACTGCTCCTTAAAGGGGCCAGACCACAGACCATGATGTTAAACGTTATGGGGTAATTCTGCCCCAGTGCAGACTCCGGCAGCTGGGGGCAGGTGCTCAGTGGAGGGCAAAGCCGAGCCCCATATGTTTGTGGCCCTTACGGTGGGACTCGGTGCTGAGGTGTGTTCCCAGGTTGGCGCTCAGCTGTCTGCACTCATCACTGCCTGCACGGGGTTGGGAACATACGACGCATCCTAATTTGCAGCCAGAACAAGAGCTCGGGTTCCCTGGGGCACAGACAGTCCAAGGGGAAGGCCCCCCATTAGTTGCTTATTGGCCCTTCTGCTGCCCATCTGCTCCTCTGTTTTTCAGGCCCTTGAATGTCACCTTAGTCTTCCAGTCCAAGAGCCAGCGGTTCCTGCGGATAGGCTTAGCGGTGCCCCTCTTCAGCACCGTGGCGACCCTCAGGGCAATGGTGGCAGAAGAAGGCAAAATCACCCCCGATCAGGTGAGTCGGGGCCAGACCCTCCCTCCCACTGTCCCAAGCCTGGAGCAGCCAGGTGGCCAGCTACGCCCCCTGCCGAGCGCACTCCTGGCGGCATTGGGGGTGCCCGCTCCGGCCAGGCAGGGCTCACATGGCAAGGAAGGGGCCCCCCCCCTTTGTCTCAGCCACTCTGGTGCAGGGACTCACTGCGCTGTGCCACAAATGCCAGGTGGCATTGCTGCACCAGGCGGCAGGGTGTGAATGGAACCCCCTGGTGAGTGTGTTTCACAGGTGGTATGGGTGTGTTACAACCCTGTCAGCCTGGCTCCCAGCTGTAGCAGCTCGTGTCTTAGCTCCGGAGGCCCCCCGTGGGCCCATCCACGTTCACTGCATTGAGCTGCTGTGTGGAGGCCCCTGGCAGCCCTGAGACCCCTTAGTGGTTCTGCAGGCTCAAGGCTCTCCAGATGCAGGAGAGACCGTGGCCACAGGGCGGGTTTCTCCTCAACTCCTGTACGGGAGGGAGACGGGGTCGCTGACCATTCCCCTGCGCTGCAGGTGATCCTGGCGGAGCTGTCCCCCAGCGGGTTCCAGCGCTCCTTCCACGACGAGGAGGATCTGAATGCCATCGCGGAGGGCGACAGCATCTATGCCTTCCAGGCCCCGATGCCCTTCACCAGAGGCAGCTCGTCCCGGCTCTCAGGTACCAGACTGCATTCGGGTTCATTCCTTGCAGGCAGGTGGGAACGTGCACAAGGTAAAAGCCTTGTGAGGCTCTTCTGAGCCTTGGCGGGAGGTTGACTGACTGTAGCTCTGCAGCTTTAATGAGCAGAAATTGACGTGGGATTTACTCCACTCTCCCCGGGACTGAATCCCTGGAGACAGCTCCCCCTGCCCCTCCCAATATGCATCTGTCCCAGCTTCTGGTCGTACCCAGGAAACAATTACGCAGGCTGAGCCCAAACCACTGAGCTGAGGGAATGTCAGGGTACCTCGTCTGATGGCCTATTAACAACAGATGGCCCCTGTTTAAAGGCACGGGGCATTTTAGACTGAACGCGCGTGGAACAGAATCTCTCCTGACACAGCCAGACCAGCTGCCCATGAGGGTATCTCACAATGTGTGAGACACAGGAAGGAAGGTGCAGCTACAGCTCTGGGCTGGGACGCAGGAGATCTGAGGTCAGTTCGAGCTCAGTCACAGGCTCCTTGGGGCAGTCACTCAATTTTCTGGGGATAACGATGCTTTCTGGGGATAACGATGCTTAATTCTGGGGGGGGGGGGGCAAGGACCCCGTCCTGCGTGTGCAGCGCCCAGCGCAATGGGGCCCTGACCTGCCACATACACAATGATTTCACCCTGATCTTTAAAGCGCTGCGCTGCCCTCTCTCTGTGCTTTGATTTAGGGTGCACTCAGTGCCGGGGGCACAACCGGCTGAGCCTGTGCGATGCAGTGCCGCGGCCTGTTCACAGCTTGCTTGTCCTCGTGGACAAACACCCAACTCCTAATGCTGCCATTTCCCCGCCACCGGCACTGCAGAGTTGCCAGCTGAATGGCCAGGAGCTTAGGGACCATCTCCCTTGCCAGAGGGCAGGGCTAAGGAGCCATGAGGGTCGGGGAACAGGCTCTGTCACCACCTGAGCTGTGTGCCTGCTGCAGGCACAGCCAGAGGATGTCAGCCTCACGGACGTCCGAGATGCAGAAGACCTCTCTGGTCATTGGGTCCTGGGGGCCTGGCAGGATTCTGTGTCTGGCCTCTTTCACAGGCCCTGCATTGAGCTCATTCAGAAAGAGGAGGCTATGCCAGCGAATCGTCCCCAGGACAGCCTGATGCACAGCCCCTAGTGCAGCCCTCAGAACGCAGGTGGGTTGCATTTCTCTTGCAGGGCGGGAGACTGGACCACCCTCAGCACCAGTTGCAGGTGTGCAGGTCTGCCCATCCCCCAGGTTTGCAGATGAGAGTTCTAGGACCCAGTGTGAGCCATGCACCCACCCTCCCTTCATCCGAGTCCTCCAACACTTCCTCTAATAACTCTTTGCCCTTCCCTAGCACGGTCTCCCGCACGGTCTCCCACACAGCCAGTGCCAGGGGCTGCTGTCCTTACCCACCCTGGCCAGCACCCTGCTGGTGCAATGGGACCCACTAAGCAGCACCCTATTCCTGCAATAGCACCCACTAAGCCCCAGGGGATTATCTGGGGAGCAGGGTGCTAGTCAATGGGAGTAAACGCATCCAAATCCCGCCCTGTGTGGGAGGGGCAAGTATCGTTAGCCCTCCCCTGGGAGTCATAGACCCTGGCTCCAAAGAGCACTGTCATTCCAGGTGCAAACATGGTTCGAAACCTCAAAATGGTTTGCGAAATGGGCGAGTAGTTTTCTGGCCAGCCCGGTGAACCTGCCTCTCCCAGGTGGAGGTGCCCAGCCAGGCCGGAGTGCGCGGGGGCAGGGAGAAGAACCGGAGTGACCGAGCGGCATGCCCAGATTGCCTACGGAGCTGTAGAGGCAGCAGCCTGCTTAATGCTGCTCTGAGAGGTGCTGCCCCCCTGGGTGTCAATGCACCTGGACCCGCCAGTTTGCTCAGAGCCACATCCGTCCACTCGGGGACTAAGGAAACACCAAAAGGCTCTGGCTTAAATTCTGGCCTCAGTTATGCCCATGCAGCTCTGCTGGCAGGGAAGGGGGTGCATGGGGGTGGGCTGAGGAGAGAACTGGGCCCCTAACGTTCCCTAACAGCAGCTCTTCAGAAGGCCAGACTGACAAGTCTTGGTGATGGTTCCAGAGGGAGTCTCAGAGAGTTCTGGGCTTTGGAGACTTCTCTGACCCCCTGGGAAGTATCCAGCCCTCGTTGCTCTGCAGCTGGCTTCCTCGTGGGATTTCCAGGTGGCGTCCAGCTTGGCTGGTGCTTAGGCCCCTCGGCTCCAGGAAGTGCAGAGGGAGCCGTGAAAGTGAGACCGA